CTCCTCTCGCCGCGCACCTTCTGTCGAGCCTTTGTCGGAGTGACCAGCGGCAGCAGCAGCAGCAGAGGTGGTGGTGGTGGCTGGTCCCAGTTCGACTGGCTTCTGATCACCACCGACCACACCTACGCAATCGTGGACAACCTCCGTCAGTACCTGGCCCCGGTGAACGCCTCCACGCCGCTCTACCTCGGCCGCCCGGTGCACCACTACTTCCTGGGCGTCTACAACGCCCTCGACTCGGGCATCGTGCTCAGTCGGGGCGCCGTGCAGCTGCTCCTGGCCGAGGGCGTCTTCACCAGCGACGCCGCCTGTCTGAACATTGACACGGGTGCGGCGGTGTACAGCGCCACCTTTGACGCCTACATTGGCATGCTGCTGGCGAGACGGGGCGTCAGGCCGGCGAACACACTGGACGCCCGGGGAGGCTCCCGCTTTCACCCCTACCGCCCTGAGAAGCACCTCATGCCGGAGCTGCTGTCCGTCTTTGACTCCTACTGGAGCTCCAATGTGCTGCCCATCAAGGGCGGCGGCGGCGGTTTCGGCTGCTGCAGCCAGCAGGCCATCACCTTCACCGGCTTCACCCCCGTGACGATGNACTGCCCATCAAGGGCGGCGGCGGCTTTGGCTGCTGCAGCCAGCAGGCCATCACCTTCACCGGCTTCACCCCCGTGACGATGTACTTCATCGACTATCTGCTCTACCACCTGGCCGGATTCACCGAGGCCGACGGACAGACTGGCATCGGCAACATGCCCTCCTATGAGAGCTATCGAGTGCCCTCAGAGCTGGACGACAGCAGAAAAGAGCAGGCAGCTGGGCGGAGGCGGCCAAGCAAACACAAGGTGCAATAAAAGTTGGTTGGTTGGAACAAAAAGTTTCGTTTATTGAGGAAAAATTTTGATGTAGCACAAAGGTGGAGGTTGTGGAAGTGGGCGATTAGTGAAAACGCTTCTTTCTGGTGTTGGTGGGTGGTAGTGCGCTTGTAAACGCCACTGTTGTGCCAAGCTAAACTGAGGAGGAAGAGAGAGAATGGGAGGATGACAAAGTCAACTTTTTTAGGAGTGAAAAGGGAGTTTGAAAAAACGCTTGTTGGGAAGGTTCAAAAGAAGACGCTCTTTATGTGGGCTCTACCGCTCGAATGGGATGGAGGAATATCATCAGTGTGTGCAGAAATGTGTGTCAGAAATGAGGTGAGAAGCAAACATAAATCCATTGTGGTGTGTGTTTCTGAAAAACAGACAACAGAATAAGAGAGTGCAGTGGAACACAATTCGCCTACGCCTGGGTGGCTCTCGCTGTCATGTTTGGTGGTCTGTTGGTGACATTACAGAATCTCACTCGCTCTCACTCTCAATCTGATGCTGGTGCAGAAATGAATAGAATGCTTGATTGAGTAGTAGTGGTAGTAGTCGTCATTCACACGCAGATATCATCTAGTGGTTATTAGCATATATTATTGGGAAGAGAAGAGAAGACAATTAGCAACTGATGTGCTTCGTACTTGCTTAGCATATTGTAGGGTATGGTGGTGTTGTATGGTTGTTGTAGGTGTTACGATGGAGGGTACGAGATACAAAAGGAGGAGGAGGAGGATATAAATGAAGAAATAGGTAGTGTTTAATCAAAGAATGAGATGGGTGCATTTTGCTGTTTGGAGGCAACGCCGAGAGAAGAGTGCGGGTGCCAATGCGCCTAAAGAATTCGTGCACGCTGGTCGAGATGTTGAGGAGACGCGCAGCTGCTTGAGACATTTAGTGATGGAAGCGCTTACGCTCGCTCTCCGCGAATGCGGCGAGCCAGCTGAATGTCCTTCGGCATGATGGTGACGCGCTTGGCGTGAATGGCGCACAAGTTGGTGTCCTCAAAGAGACCGACCAGGTAAGCCTCAGAGGCTTCCTAAGAAACAAGAAAAGAAAATGAATGAGCAAGATGTCAAAACACACACACACAGTCGTAGTCACTTACTTGCAGGGCGCCGATGGCAGCACTCTGGAAGCGCAAGTCAGTCTTGAAGTCCTGAGCGATTTCACGAACCAGACGCTGGAATGGGAGCTTGCGGATCAGCAGCTCAGTCGACTTCTGGTAGCGACGGATCTCACGAAGAGCGACAGTACCGGGGCGGTAGCGATGCGGCTTCTTCACGCCACCAGTCGACGGGGCCGACTTGCGGGCAGCCTTGGTAGCTAAACGATTACAAAACGTGAGAGATAAGAAAAACGTAAACAAAACGTTGTGCACTTACCCAGCTGCTTTCGGGGAGCCTTTCCTCCGGTGGATTTACGAGCGGTCTGCTTGGTACGAGCCATTGCGAGTTAGTCTGTGAGTTGGTTGATGAAGGAAAAAGAGAGCACGAGTTAGAAAGGGAAGTTTGTTTTTACTGTATAGTAGACAAGCACGGCGATAATCTATCAAAGTTGGAGAAATTCAAATCGAGGCTGCAAATGTAGCGCGACTCTCCCCACACTGTGTGACGTAGTTGCGGTGGCAGATGCAGAGGCAGCAACCACCGCAGGCCACTCAACCAGAGCGTAGCGCTCTACCACCATCAAAGCGCAAGGTAGAGCGCAGAGTACACGCTGCGAGTCTTGTCACGAGAGCAAGTACATTGAGAAAAAAAATAAGTAAAAACTAACCGGTAAAGGGCAAATGTCAAAAGTCACGAGGATTCTAGGTACACAATCAGGTACGAGCGGCGGTGCAACAGACGTACACACAAAGGTTAGGCGAGCAGCGGTTGTAGTGGCTGCTGTGAGCGAGCCAAAACGACGCCATGTTTGTTTTGTGCTCCCTTCTCTCACACAACGAGAGCCAGCGAGCGAGAGGAATACGCCAGAAGGCGAGCGAGCGAGCGAGAAAGCGCGATAGGCAAGCAGCACGTCAAGACAAGTTGTGCTCAGCTCGGAAATCAGAACGAGAAAAACACAACACAACAAAGACACCCTAAGATTCAGGGTTCAAAGGTGGTGGAAAGTCACCTGCTTACCGGTGAAAGAGTGGTCAGAGAGCTCAAACAAGTACTCGAGGTCAAAGTGCAATGGAGGTGAGGGCGCAAGATGGGACCGGGTCCGGGCGAAAAGTCAGAGTTCCAGGGACGGTGGGACGCAGGAGCGAAGCGAGTGGTGGCAAGAGCGAGAGTGGCAAGCAGCTGTACTCCGTGCAAAGATGGCTGCTACTGCTGCTGCCACCGCCGTTGTGCCTTTGCGTGTCAGCAGCCAAAGGCGGGACAACTGGCTGGCAAAGCGGACAAAGGTGGGGATGTGCACGGACTGAGCTGCTGAGGCAGCAGCGAGAGCGAGGAGAGAGAAAATAGGGAGCGAGTATCTGCGCGCCAGAAGCGACACTTGACCGAGGATCAGGTCAAAGCCGAGTGGCAACGACTGCTCAAGCTGACCTGACCAGGTCGTCCACCACTGTCGCTGACCTGGTCATCATTACCACACCTGGCTGATGATTGAGAAAAGAGGAAAAGAATAGAAACGAGATAGCTTGTACAGCCAATTTCAAAATTCATTTCCCCGCCGCCGCCAAGAGAGCAATCGCTAAGGCTAGCGGCAAACGCAAGAGTGCTGTGACTGTGGTTGGGCTGCTTCTGCTGTCGCGGCCGTGTAGGAGTCATCGAAGATCAGTGTAGATGTACTCCAACGGTGTGACCGGGCATGCGTGCATGGCACAGGCGCACAAGCTGGTCGAGGAGAGTAAGCAAGTGGGAATTATTGAGTAATGGACACGAAATGCTCCTTCAACGAGTGAGTGTGCCGTACCAGGACGACGATGCAATGCAGAGGAACTGGATTCAGTCGTGTCACGGGTGGGTGGTGTAAGAGAGAAAGAGAGAACACCGTAAGTCGCTCGCGTATGAATCCCGAAATAGAAATCGCGCTATATACCTAAAACGCTGCTGGTCAAGTGAAAAAGGCGCTCGCGCTGTTGTTATTCGCGTGAGCAGTATCGATCAGAAAAGAGAAGAGAAAAAGAGGAAGTGAGATGGAAATGCACCCTGGACTCGTTGCAGCATGTCATCGAGCCACATGTCCTCCCGGCTTAGGACCGGATGAAAACTATATGCGCTAGTGCAAGTAGAACTATATACTACGGATCAAACTTCTAGAGGGAAAAGATGGCGGCTGCGGGGATGACTGCGCATAGCTCTGATGGACAGCGGCCGCTTCTTGGCTCGAAATGATGAAATTCTCGAAGAAATCAGAATCGCAAAGGTGCCTCAGGACGGGAATCCCGCAAGCAAGACAGTGAAAAACGAAATCAAGTACGACTTACCGGTTGTGCTGAGAACAACGGAAGTTGCAAAGTCAAAGAAACGCGGCGGGTGTCTTGACGAATCGAGTTGAGGTAAGCGAGGTGAGAGAGTTGCGAGAGATGTTGACGCGTTGGAAGAACGATCACAAATGAATCAAACACCAGCCCGAGACAGTGTTTTGTTGTCTTTAGGCAAGTTCGTAAAGTTCGTACTCTACAGCAGCGGCGCTGCTCTGTGTGTGTGCGTGCGTGTGACAGTCAGCGCCACTACACAGCTGTACAGCGCGCAACGTGCAACCTAACGGCCAATTGCATCACCGCTCTCTGCTAGTGCATCGAGGCGCGAATCCCGCCAAAACTCTGACTGACTAACTTACTCACCTACTCACTTCCTCCCCCACTCTAGTGCTTTACTGTAACCTCTGTCTTTATTTGGTCTTTATTAAACTGGAATGGAATTCCTGATGAGAAAATATGATGAGGACTAGTAACCGAGAGATGCCGCATTACTACTTGATAAAGACTCGGACGAGGAGGTAGAGGAGGAAGACGGTGACGGTGGCGGTGATGAGGAGGCCCAGTTTGAAGCAGGGGTGATCGATGCCCATCGGCGCACAGCGGTACCAGGGCAGGCTGCGGTGATCGGCAGCGGCAGTCTTTGCTCCCCCGCCGCCGCCGGGGCGGCACTTCTCCACATCCACTGCGGTGGTGCTCGTCGGCGCATCCTCGTTCCTACCGGCAGATTGA